ACTAAGCAAGAACCACCCACAGGCAGGAGCACTGAGCGGGTCTCCTCAGTATGTGAGGACCGAATCACCGGGCGAGCTCTCTGGTCACAGCCTAACTGTGCCGGAAGAAAGGGAGAAACAGGTAATTAGGCAGGTTTTCAAGTATTAGAAAGTGAACAAGTACACTTCTGAGTACCAGCCCGATCAAGGAAGAAAACAGAAGGTACTGGACAACACTGTTCGCCAGATTACCAAGAGCAGACACGACAAAACGAGGACAGTTCTTAGCAGGAAATGAGCTTCCTTTTAAATGCACCTGTCAGAAAGGACAACTCGAAACTAACACCGCAATCCTGTGTCTCCGGAAGTTACGAGAGAACACTAAAATAAGCTGAAAGAAAGAAGAAAAGAATAAAATTGAGGACAGAAAGTAGCAAAATAGAAAACAACGGGACAATCCAGGTCAAAAAAAAAAAAAAAAAAGCAAGAGTTGGGTTTTACAAAATCTGTTAAAACTCACAAGCCTCAGACAAAGCTGTCCAACAGAGAGCGAGCGCGCGCGAGGAGTCAGCGTCACCGAGGAAAATGAAGAGTGAGTGAGCACAGACCCGGCCTGCATCCAGAATGTAAGACATGATGCGCCGTGTTCATGCCCACAGCCATAAAACTCGGCTGAAATGATGACTTGAAGGGAAAATGATCCGCCAAAACCGACCAGTGCAGGAAGATAAGACGCGGACTCAACCCTTGAGGAGGTCCCGTCAGTAATTCACAGCCGGCTAACACAGAACCTAATCCCAGTGGTTCCACGGTGGGTCCCGGAACCTTCAGAGGCCACGGGCCTCACACTGGCTCTTCCGGAGTAAAGGAGAATCCGCACCCCCAGCGCATGTTATGAGGCTCGAGAAACTAACAAAACTCAGCAGTGTCCCCTCCCCCACCAAGTGAGCCACATTGAAACCACGAGGTGACGTTGCCACCCATCAGGCGTGACAAGAAGGCCACTTCAGCTCTGTGAACTGTTCCCCAAATCCACAGCCCAGTCTAATTTAAGCAGTAAACCTGACAAACCCAAATCAAGAGAAACTGCTACTCTTTTTTATAGATCTATTTATTTATTTGAAAGGCAGAGTTACAGAGAGGCAGAGGCAGAGAGAGAGAGAGAGAGAGAGAGAGAGAGGTCTTCCGTCTGCTGGTTCACTCCCAGATGGCTGCAATGGCCAGGGCTGCGCCAGAGCTTCTCCCATGCAGGTGCAGGGGCACAAGGACTCGGGCCATCCTCCACTGCTCTCCCAGGCCACAGCAGAGAGCTGGATCAGAAGTGGAGCAGCCGGGACTCGAACCGGCGCCCATGTGGAATGCCGGCACTGCAGGCAGCGGTTTTACCCGCTACGCCACAGCGCTGGTCCACGCTGAGTCTATTTTCACTGCCGTGCCTGTCTTCCTGTACGACCCCTCCCCCTGGCTTTTCACCTGACTGCTGACAAGCATGTTGGCCGTCACCACGTGGCAATGACAAACGCTGGTGCCGCAGAATCCTGCCCTAGCGACGCACGCCTGAGGCTGTGAGGCGTGCACACCAAGGGGCAGAACGGGCAGTCCTCGGGGAGACTCCCATTCAGTCCTGGTCGACGATGCCAAGCTGTGTTCCGACGGTGGCCACACTTTGCAGCTGCACCGGCGTGCTTCCCTGCCCCGCCGTCTCATCTCCTCCCCTCTCAGGAGACAAGAACTGGGGTCACATTCTCTAAGACGGGGCTGGCTGATTCGGAAGGCTCTGACACGATGGAACAGGGCCAGGCACTTCCATCAAGTCTCCCGACAGCGCGTAGACTCTCACACTGCTCATGTGGCCTTCCAGGGTGATCTCAGTGAGCCCCCGGAGATGAGAGCAGCTGAAGCCCCTAAGATCTGCGGGGCAGAGCAAGGGCAGCCAGGGACGTCCGTGGCAGTGACCCTGTTCCTGTAAAGGGGTATTTACAAGAGCAGGCCGTTGGCAGCAGCTTGCGTTGCCTGCCTAAGGCAGACACCACGCTCCCCTCGGGGCGCCGCCTCCTGCCTCCCTCCGCATGCCCAGCCTTCTCGCTAACCCTGGCTCCCCGCTGAGACTCACGGCTCCTGGAGACCCAGGACTGCTAAGCGGCAACAGAGGAGTGCTCAACACGGAAACAAAGGGCGCAGGGCTCCCAACAGGCAAACACTGTGGCAGGCATCTCACCAGAGAAGGCACACAGCAGGAAGTTAACACCTGACAGCTGCCCGATGCCCTCTGTCCTCAGGCCACGCAAATGAAAACCAAGGTGAGGTAACACCACACCCCTCACAGAATGCACACTACCAAAAAACTTGGCATGGGCAGGTGTGTGTGTGTGTGTGTGACAGCAGCCATGTCTCTGTCCCTACAGGGCCAGGTGTGTGTGTGTGGGTGACAGCCATGTCTCTGTCCCTACAGGGCCAGGTGTGTGTGTGGGTGAGGCAGCCATGTCTCAGTCCCTACAGGGGCAGGTGTGTGTGTGGGTGAGGCAGCCATTGCAGTGCTGTCAGCAGCCGCATGTCGGCAACTGATGGTTTCTAAAGCATTGCCAGGCACCTAGTACAGAGCTGGGGACCCCCCACAGGCAGGCTGGGCCAGGGAAATGCCCCTCCCCTCAGAGCCCCGGGAATCCACCCCCATCAGAGCCCCCCAGTGCAGACACGGAAGCTTTCTGCTGAGTGCCACGGAGCCCTGGAAATCGGGTCCCCATCGTCATGGGGCCCTGGGAGTGTGGCCCTCTGTGTTCTGAGTGGAGCGGTGCTAGGTGCTCGGTGAGCCTGCACCCCAGGGGACCTCGGAGGCCCCGGGCAGCCTGCCCTCTGGGCCTGAGCAGAGAGGATGCAGAGGCCATCACCACGCGGTGAAAGGTGCCCGTCAGCGGTGGCGCAGCCTCAAAGAAGTGAGTGGCTTATGGCCTCTGAGCCCAGGGGTCACGACGCGTGGGACAGCGCTGGGCGGCGCTCCAAGCCACCGCAGAACGCCCCGCTTTGTGTGAACAGCACGCCCGGGAACGAAGCCTGACCCCACCCACGTCCTCCCGCAGCCCCGCACCCCGGGTGCTTCTCCCTGCGGTTCCGGCGAGTGACAGTGGCTACGTGTGAAACACAGCGCGGCCCCGGGCGAGCCCAGGCAGTACAGGCCCTGAGAGTCCCGCAAAGCCTCGCTAGGGAGAAGCGGCCGTGGCCAGGCGCAGGGTGAGCGGCTTTGGCGTTGTCTCCAGCGCCCCCTGGGAGTTCCACACGGAACAACCCGCGCCTGCCGCCCAAACCGCAAGGCCAGGTCAGGGCTCAGGCAAGGGGCACAGAGGGGAGCCTGGGGGGGTGGGGGGGTCTCCTTCAGAGTTGCACGGTCATCGCGCGGGGCAGAAGCGCCCCAGCGCGCAGCGACCACCGAGCTCCGCAGAGGAAGCCCTGGGAATGCCGAGTCCTGGGACGCACGGCCCCTGCCCTGACCTTGTGCCCAAGGTCCCTGGGGCTATTTTAGGAGCAAGTGTACTCTGAGGGATGTTTTGTTTCCTTTCGCGTCCAGCGGCACCAGAGACCCTATTCTGGGGTGTCCAAAAGATACTGCCCAGCTCCAAGGGGCAGGCGGGGCACAGGAGGCCGGAGACCAGCCGGCACCGCGGGGCTCCGGGCAGCTGCGCCCCGCGCGCACGCGAGCTGTGGCGCCCGGAACGGAGGCCAGAGGCGGCCCTCTCCTTGGCTTTGGTTTCTTCTCCTTTGCAGCGGCCCAAGCACTATCATTTTTTTTCCTTATTTACTTGCTATGAGTAAGAAATGGGGAAGCTAAACTGGTGTTTCCCGTTTTCAATGGGGGAGGGGGTGCGTATTTACGCTCCTGAAAAGGGGATAAACCCTGCGTGAGTAAACGCAAGAGACCGCGGGGAAGAAGACGGGTGCGGGAAGAGGGGCGCAGCGCCAGGCAACTGCCCCCTCCCAGGGCGAGCGTCTCCCCCCGCGGGGGTCTCACTGGTTCCCGCCAAGCATCTCACCCGGCCACTCTGGACCAGGGCCACTGGCGATCCAATCCTGGGTCACTTGCGCCCTCTATCGGTCACTCAGGGAAGGGCGCGCCACGTCGGGGGCTCGCGTGCCCGAGGAGCCACGGGACCCCAGGACTCGACTCCCGAAGGAGACCCGGGGCGAGGGGGATAGGGAGCAGCGAGAAGCCCGCCTCCGCCCCAGCGCACCACGGAGCGTGCAGTGACAGGTTACAAAGTGACCTTCAGAACCCGCAGGGCACGTTCCCCGTGCCCGGGCGAGCTGGTCAGTGGCGCTCGGCTGTGCCCACCGTGTGGCTCCGTCGCGCTTTCTCGTGGGTGTGAATCGCTGGAAACGTGTTCCAAAAACACGACGCCCCGCCCTGCTAACGGGAACCCGCCTTGAAGGAGCAAGGGTCTGGCAGGTGCCAGAGGCCGGCCTGCACAGGGCGCATTAGAGGGTCCCGGGGCTGCGCCCCCAACCCAGGGGCACTCGGCTCCGCGAAACCCCAGTGCGCGCGCACGGCCGTCCTCCCGCCTGCAGGTCTCGCGGCTTGCCCTGCCCGGGGAATTACATTTTAGAAAGCTCTGCAAGCAGACACCAAGGAGAGGGGGGCGGGCCGGTTTCCCGGTCCCAATCCGCCTCGGGGCGACCTCGCGCGAGGCGCGGCGGGGAGAGGGGGCGGCTGCGCAGGCCAGGTCAGGGCGCCGAATCGGTAGGAAGCGGCTGGGGCGGCCCGGGGCGCCCGCGGCGGAGAGAGAGCCAGGGGCGCAGCCGCTCTCGGACACCGCAGCGCAGCCAGGACGCCCGGCGTGCGCGCGGGGAGCAGGTGTCCTGGCGGCCGCGCGCCGCGCGCCCCCGCGCTCGGCCCACGCGGCACAGGGCGAGGCGCGGGCCCCCGAGCCGTGCGGCACCGGCCCGCCCCCCTCCTGGGCGCGCCGTTCCGGGGCGTGTCCTCGGCCACTCGGCTTGTATATAGCGGCCGGCGCGGCCCGGCAGCCCAGACGCGAGCGCGGCCACTCAGCGCGGAGAGCCGGCCGTGGCCTTCCCTGATCTCGCAGCTCCGCACCGCGTGCCGTCGCCCCGTCCCCGTGCGCCCCGGCCGGCTGAGCAGCGGGCCCTCGCGGCGGGCGCCATGCAGCGGGCGCGCCCCGCGCTCTGGGCCGCGGTGTTGACCGCGCTGGCGCTGCTCCGCGGGCCGCCGGTGGCGCGGGCCGGCGCCGGTTCGGTGGGCGCGGGCCCCGTGGTGCGCTGCGAGCCGTGCGACGCGCGTGCGCTGGCCCAATGCGCGCCTCCGCCCACCTCGCCCCCGTGCGCCGAGCTGGTGCGCGAGCCGGGCTGCGGCTGCTGCCTGACGTGCGCGCTGCTCGAGGGCCAGCCGTGCGGCGTCTACACCGAGCGCTGCGGCTCCGGCCTCCTGTGCCGGCCGCAGCCCGGCGAAGTGCGTCCGCTGCAGGCACTGCTGCACGGCCGCGGGTCCTGCGTCAACGCCAGCGCCGCCGGCCGTCTGCGCGCCTACCTGCTGCCGGCGCCGTCCGCGCCAGGTGAGCCGCCCGCGCCAGGTGCGCCTCCTGGGCCGAGCCTGGACGGGATGTGGGGGTGCTGCCGCGGGAAATTCTGTCCTCTTCTTTGCCCTGAGGATTGGAGCGGTGAAACTGAGGCCCGGAGAGGCGGAGGCGCCCCGCACGGACCCCCGGCAGCTGTCCGTGCGCTTCGCGCGCTCCGTTCCCCGAGTGAGAATGTCCGTGGGTTGCAAAGCGCGCTCAGTGAAACGGGCAGGCGGTTTCGGGGCTGGGGTAGCGGGAACCGAGGTTGCCGGCAAGGGCGGGACCCTGCACACGGGAGGTGCCCCCGAGCCTGGCGCGGGGCCGCTGTGGAGCGGGCTCCGCACGGTGAGCCGCGGGCGCGTCCCCGACCTGGGGATGCTTGAGGGTGGGGCCGGGGCGGGGGTTAGGCGCGGTGCTGGAAGGGGCTCCAGTCTCTGAGAACACGAACATTTGCGAGACCTGTGCTTTGCGAAGCAGGGTCCCGCCCTGGAGTGCGATTTGGGTCTTGGTGTCGGCGCGCCTGCAAACCCTGGAGTTCAGAAAGGGATGAGCAGCCGCGGGTAGCACAGGGCGTGGCTCGGAACCCCACATGCCCCCGGCGCCGCCTCACCTGTGTCGCCCAGCCCTGCGCTTGTGCGCACCGCAGAGCGTGCCCGGGGGCGCCCGGTCGCGCACAGAGATTTCAATGACAGGAAGGCGAACTGGAATCCGTCCTGGGACTGCTGCCCTTCTGCACCCGGTGGGCGGCTCCGCAAATGGCAAAGTGGGGGCGCTGGGCGCTCCCCACCCCCTAGGCCAGCCCCTCTCCAGCAGGGACCCGTTGGCCGGCTCCCTGTGTCCCTGGTGGGCAAGCCCCTCAGGGTCTCGCGTTGGTAGCCTCACTTGATGGACTGAGCTCCCGCCCTGGGGTGGGAGGGGGCTTCTCCCCGCCCTGGTCCCAGCCCCAGTAACTGCTGGGTGGCAGTGGGCAAACCCATCCAGGGCTGGCGGTCTGACCTCTGTAGCCAGGGACCCCATCCTGGGGAGGCTGCTTCCTGCCGGAGCAAGGCCGGCCGTCTCCATCCCTGTGTGGGCACTTTACTGCCTTCAGAACCGGTCTCGGAAGTGCTGGTAGACCGTGCCGTTTCTAACCGGCTTTAGTAACTCCACCATGTAGGTTGAGGTGGGTTTGCATAAGAGAATGTACAAAGTTCCAACTGATTTCTAACCAAAGAAGTTTAAAAAAAAAATTACTCGGGGCTCTTGGGACCTGTGTTTATTTACATATTCTTGGCATCTGCTTTGTCCCAGTACTTCCTCAAAAAAGAAAAGAAATTCAAAAGTTGGAACCAAATCCAGTCCATTACAGACCCGCTCTGGTGCTAAACCAGACCGTGGGAACGTCTGCTTCCCGAGGCGCAAGGGTGCTGGGGACCTCAGGGGCTGTGTTGCCAGTGAGGAGTCGGGTCCCAGAGAGACAGGGACCCCCGGGTGAGTCTCGGTGGGTGCTGCTGGGAGAGCCCAGAGGCCTGCAGCCTCTGGGAACCAGGCGTTCAATCCTTATGGCCTGCAGCCAGGGCCACGCAGGTCCCCCCACGGGCAGGCTGCCATGCGTCTGCTGTGTTCCCAGGAGGCAGCAAACAGTTCCACTGGACAGTCACCCACAGACTGGAGTGGGTGGGGTGTACCCGCCCCGGGGACATCTCCCCTAGATGTGGCCCTTGATGCCCCTGGGGACCCCACAGCCACCACGGCTTCACCCTGGAAGAGGGACCCAGTGGCCGCGGATCTGGGTGTGCGCTGAAGGCCTCAGGTGAACCGTGACCCGGCCAGCATCTGGGTCAAGCGCGGACTTTGCAGGAGAAGGGGGCCTGCAGGAGGGGGCGTCCTGCCCTCCAGGAGCCAGCAGGCTCGGTGGGCGTCCTGCGGCTGCGTCCTGGCAAGGTGTCCCAGCAGGGGCGGAGCCTGTGTGCGCCCAGTTTCAGAGCCAAGCCACCGGCACTGCCGCGGTTCTGGGCCGCGCGGCGGGGAGAAGTGGGTGACGGTCCCACTAGCAGGAGGGTACAGTCACGCCCAGACCCTGCGGTGCACGGCGAACAGGACCTCCTCCCAGCCCCGGGGCGCAGCACACACACACACACACACACACACACGCGCGCGCGCGCGGGCTTGCCTGCAACTCTCTGGCCGCTCCATGGCCTTCCGTGGCTCTCGGCCGCCGCCTGCTGGGGGAAGCGTTAGTGGCAGCTGCACAGGGCTGGTGGCTGGGTGGAGGCCACCCTGCGAGTTGTATGGAGTTGTGCCAGTGTCATGGCTTAACACCACAAGAACTGTGCTAAATTTTCAAACCAATACGATCGCCAGTTGAATACAAAGAGTAGAACGGTGGGAAAAATCTGACCACCTGAAATGAGACCTAGTTTTTATTTTTTAATATTGTGACACATCACGACTGTACACATTTTGGGGGTGCGGTGTGCAGCATTTCATGACCAGATGGGGTCCCCGGCACCTCTGTGGCCTCGGCCGCTAACCATTTCCTGGTGCTGGGAACATTCACCACTCCCCCTCCTGGCTATTTGGAGGTATTGCGGGAGCTGCCTTCAACCGTGGTTATCTGGAGGGTGACAAGCTGTTCCCCCTCCCCCCGCCCCCCCAAATCGAGGTGGTCCTCAACCCCATCCGGGGCTGTCGGTCAGCTACGCCCTGCCTCAGTCTCCCTCTCCCGCTTCCAGGGAACACCAGTGAGTCGGAGGAGGAGCGTGGCGCAGGGGGCGTGGAGGGCCAGACCATGCCCAGCACGCACCGGGTGCCCGACTCCAAGTTCCACCCCCTGCACGGCAAGATGGACGCCATCAGGAAGGGCCAGGCCAAGGACAGCCAGCGCTACAAGGTCGACTACGAGTCGCAGAGCACGGACACCCAGAACTTCTCCTCCGAGTCCAAGCGGGAGACGGAATACGTGAGCGCTTCTCCTCTGGTCCCAGTTGTCCAGGGGGTCTGGGGGAAGTGTGGGCAGCCTCTGCCCTGCATGCCCCCCAACCTTGCAGCCGGAACTGAGCGTGGGGGCGCTGAGGGGGCGGAGCTGCAGCAGGGGAAGAATGGAGCACCTGTGGGTGCACCCCAGGCTCTGGGGGACCACGGCGCCCCCCCCCCCAGCACTGGGCTCACTGAGGCCTGGGGTGGGGGAGGGCACGCGGGCAGGGTGGTGGCGTGACCGTGCCGGGCTGCCTCTGTCCCCAGGGCCCCTGCCGGCGTGAGATGGAGGACACCCTGAACCACCTCAAGTTCCTCAACGTGCTGAGCCCCCGCGGGGTGCACATCCCCAACTGTGACAAGAAGGGCTTCTACAAGAAGAAGCAGGTGAGCGCCGGGGCGGACGTCGCCCTGAGCTGCGCGTGCCGGAGCGAGGACCCCGGGAGCAGCCAGTGCCCCCAGCGCCCGGGCCCGCCCGCCCCGCGCCTTCCTGCCGCCGGGAGCTGCGGCTGCAGCGCCCTGCGCTTAGCAGCGGGTGCGCGCGCATCCTAAGGGCGGCACCGCGACTCAGCGGCCCGGCCGCCCGGAACCGGCCCTCCGCCTCCTCCCTGTGCTTGGCGCGAAGGGCTGCCCATGCCGGCTCCTCCGCTCGTCCCCGGTGTGTGTGGTGTGTGTGTAACACCGCCGGGAGCCGGGCCGACCGCGGGGCTGCAGACCAGACCTGCTACGGGCGACCTGCACGGGGCGCCCCAGCCTTCCCCCGCTCCTCGCCATGCGTGTGTGCACATGCATGTGTGTGCTCATGTATGTGTCTGCGTGTGTATATGCATGTGTATATAGACTTGTGTGCTTGTACTTGCATGTAAAGATATGTGTTTATGTATGTGTGTATATGTGTTTGTGTGTTTATGTGCACGTGTATATGTTTATTGTGTGCATGCGGGTGCATGTGTATGCGTGTATATTTGTATGACTGTGTATGTATTGTGTGTTTAGGTGTGTGTGTAAGTGTATGGCTGTGTATGTGGGTGTGTGTTTAGGTGTGTATGTGTGGCTGTGTGTAGGTGTGTAGGTGTGTGACTGTATGTGTGTAGGTGTGTGTATAAATGTATGGCTGTATATGTAGGTGTGTTTAGGTATGTCACTGTATATGTGTGACTGTGTGTGTTTAGGTGTATGTATAGGTGTGTGGCTGTGTGTAGGTGTGTGTTTAGGTGTATCACTGTGTATGTGTGACTGTGTGTGTTTAGGTGTGTGTATAGGTGTATGGCTGTATATGTAGGTGTGTTTAGGTGTGTCACTGTGTATGTGTGCCTGTGTGTTTAGGTGTGTGTATAGGTGTGTGGCTGTGTTTAGGTGTGTGTTTGGATGTGTGGCTGTGTGTGTGTGTTTAGGTGTGTGTATAGGTGTATGGCTGTGTGTGTGGGTGTGTGTTTAGGTGTGTGTTTAGATGTGTGACTGTGTGTGTGTTTAGGTGTGTGTATAGGTGTATGGCTGTGTGTAGGTGTGTGACTGTGTGTAGGTGTGTGTGCATCTCTATCAGTGTGCCCCTCTGGCTGCAGCGTGGGGGAACTTTGGGGTCCTCTGACTGCACAGCCCACGCCACGCGGTCTGGCACCTTCACCGCGCTCTGGCCACGCTGCAGTGTCTGCTGCGGCCACGCGGAGCCCAGGCCCCCTCGGGCTCTAACTCACCCGCGGCCTCTGAAAACGCCTGCTCTGAAGGCACCGTGCGGCAGGCCGGGGGGGCTGCAGAGGCCAGCTCGAGGGCTCCGGGCGGACACAGCATCCTTCCCCCGCCCCCACTTGACAAGTGTCCAAGGGAATGACCCCCGCGTGCACACAGTGGGCCTGCAGGTCCCACATTCACACACACACACACGTTCGCCCACAGCTCCGTCTCGGGCCCTGGTTGCCAGCGGACCCAGCCCCCGAGGCTCACGGCTCCATCGCATCTCTGTCCCTCAGTGCCGCCCCTCCAAGGGCAGAAAGCGGGGCTTCTGCTGGTGCGTGGACAAGTACGGGCAGCCCCTCCCGGGCTACGACACCAAGGGCAAGGACGAGGTGCACTGTCTGGGCATGCAGAGCCAGTAGCCGCCACGCAGCCACGTAAGCCCGGGACGGGTCGGGGCTCCTCCTCCGGGCAGCAGTGGGGGGCGAGGATTGCTCGGGGCTGGGGAGCCGGTGGGAGAGAGGCCTCTGACCGGAGCAGGAAGAAAGCCCCGCGCTCACCACAGCCCAGGCACGCCACAGCCCAGGCACACCACAGCCCAGGTACACACCACAGCCCAGGTACACCCCACAGCCCAGGCACACCACAGCCCAGGCGCACCACAGCCCAGCACACACCACAGCCCAGGCACACCACAGCCCAGGTACACACCACAGCCCAGGTACACACCACAGCCCAGGCACACCACAGCCCAGGTACACCACAGCCCAGGTACACACCACAGCCCAGGTACACCACAGCCCAGGTACACCACAGCCCAGGTACACACCACAGCCCAGGCGCACCACAGCCCAGGTACACCACAGCCCAGCACACACCACAGCCCAGGCACACCACAGCCCAGCACACACCACAGCCCAGGTACACCACAGCCCAGGTACACCACAGCCCAGGCACACCACAGCCCAGGCGCACCACAGCCCAGGTACACCACAGCCCAGGCGCACCACAGCCCAGGTACACCACAGCCCAGGCACACCACAGCCCAGGCACACCACAGCCCAGGCACACCACAGCCCAGGTACACCACAGCCCAGGTACACCACAGCCCAGGTACACCCCACAGCCCAGGTACACCACAGCCCAGGTACACACCACAGCCCAGGTACACCACAGCCCAGGCACACCACAGCCCAGGCACACCACAGCCCAGGTACACACCGCAGCCCAGTCACACCACAGCCCAGGTACACACCACAGCCCAGGTACACCACAGCCCAGGCACACCACAGCCCAGGTACACACCACAGCCCAGGTACACCCCACAGCCCAGGTACACCACAGCCCAGGCACACCACAGCCCAGGCACACCACAGCCCAGGCACACCACAGCCCAGCACACACCACAGCCCAGGCGCACCACAGCCCAGGTACACACCACAGCCCAGGTACACCCCACAGCCCAGGTACACACCACAGCCCAGGTACACCACAGCCCAGGTACACACCACAGCCCAGGTACACCACAGCCCAGGTACACCACAGCCCAGCACACACCACAGCCCAGCACACACCACAGCCCAGGTACACCCCACAGCCCAGGTACACCACAGCCCAGGTACACCCCACAGCCCAGGCACACCACAGCCCAGGCACACCCCACAGCCCAGGTACACCCCACAGCCCAGGTACACACCACAGCCCAGGCACACACCACAGCCCAGGTACACACCACAGCCCAGGCACACCACAGCCCAGGTACACACCACAGCCCAGGTACACCACAGCCCAGGCACACCCCACAGCCCAGGTACACCCCACAGCCCAGGCACACCACAGCCCAGGTACACCACAGCCCAGGCACACACCACAGCCCAGGTACACCACAGCCCAGGCACACCCCACAGCCCAGGCACACCCCACAGCCCAGGCACACCACAGCCCAGGTACACCACAGCCCAGGTACACACCACAGCCCAGGTACACCACAGCCCAGGTACACACCACAGCCCAGGCACACCACAGCCCAGGTACACCACAGCCCAGGCGCACCACAGCCCAGGTACACACCACAGCCCAGGTACACCACAGCCCAGGTACACCACAGCCCAGGCACACACCACAGCCCAGGCTCACACCACAGCCAGCCAAGGCCAGGAAGCTTCGTTTCCAGCGAGGCTCATTCGAACGCCTGGTTCCTAAATTCAATTCCAAGTTAGAGACGTGGCCCTTTTCCCTGTGATGTGGGTTATGAATATTTTCCTAGACTGGTTAACGTGATTAGTAGAGTTTACCTAAGTCTCGGGCAACACTGACGCTTTGAGCTATAACATTGAAGAGTGCTGTGCTGTGCCGTGTTCTTTTCACTCAAACGTGAGGGAGTTTGGGGCGAGACGGATGCATGCGTTTCCCTTCAGCTTCGCCAGATGAACTTGATAAGCAGAAGAAACTTGTATGGACTAGAATGTTTTATCTTGCAAGCTGGAAAAATACGTTAGCTCTACCTCTGGTAGCTTGATTGACAGTGAGCGCCCCCCCCACCCCCCCACCCTGCTCTGTTGGAAATGCAGGTGGAGACCCCTGGCGGCGAGCAGAGGCGGAGCCCGCGCCGGGTTTGTCTCCATGTCCCTGTCTTTTCCCTTTAGTTCTCGTGGAGCTCAAATCCGCCTTATTTTGCACAAGAGACTGCCAGGGCCACGGCCTCCACTCGGATCTCTCTGTGGTGAACTGATTTTCCTTAAACCAAAGTTCAGAAGTTCTGGAAGCGCCTGCGGTTCCGGCGGGATGCCCACCAGGGCGCCTCCCCTCCCCAGAGCCCCTCACACCCCGCCCGCCCCCTCCCCACGGAGCGCGCCCCGCTGTGCGCTTCCCTCCACCCCGAAGGCCCCGACCGCTGTGCTGCCCTGCACAGAGCACACTTCATACCACCCTCCACAATCCCGATCCGTAGGGAGCCCCTGAACCCCGTCATCTGGAGACCCCTGGGGGCCGCCGAGCTCCCAGTGGGAGAGGTCAGATGCAGTCTGACTGTTCAACCAGAAACGACCCCCTGGGAATTCACCGGGCAGCTCCGAGGGCCGCGGGCGGGAGGGGCAGGTGGCAGCCAGCGCCAGCCCCCCTGTCCAGGTGCCCCCTTCTTCAGATGCCTGCAGAGAACAGCCTTCGCCACGCACCGGCTCCTGGGACAGCGCCTGTGTCTGAAGATCGGCTCCGGGAAGAGCGAGATGCGTGCGTCCCCGTCACTCACCTGTCTAACCAGGACGGAGGGGTGGCTCACCGGCGGCTGGGCAGCGGGGGTCGCTCTCGCCCTTTTCTTTGTAAATCACACATGTAAGCAGAGAAGCCGCGCTCCTGATTCACTGTTCACATTGTATGCAACGTAGCCCGAGTATAACCGGATCTGTGCTAGCCACTCCTAGGTGAGACGCTGAGAAGCTGCCTGCGGATGCCCGGCCGCGGCCGCGCGCGCTCGGGAGCCCAGCCGGCTCTCCCGGCACTGCCTGCCTGCTGGCTTCTCTTTATTTTTTTAATTAAGTTTTCGGGGGGAAAAAAGTATTTTTGAAAAGTTCATCTTGCAGTGTATTTATAAATAGTAAATAAAGTTTTTACCGTTAAAACTGAAGCCTGCTTTCGCCTTCTTCCTGGTGGCCCCCATGGTTTGTGTCTCTGAGGGTAGAATGTTCTAGAATGAGTTGCAAACTTCGTAAGCTCAGGCTCCCCTGCCTGATTCTCAGCAGGCAGGAAATCCCACCCTGGAGACTGTGTGGGCTCCACTCCCGGGCACCAGGACAGCAGGTGCGTCTCCCGGCCATTGTCCTCACCTGTGGGATTGCTCCCCGGCTTGTCCCATCCGACACCCAGAGCACGTGCGGGACGGTCACTCCCCCAGCCCACCCGCATCCTGCCCTCCGGGAGTGCACAGGCAGCCTCCTGGGGGCCGTGCTTGTGACGCTGGGGGCTGGAAGGAGACGGTGAGCAGAGCGAGCTCACTGGGTGGAGGTGAGGGGCAGTCAGGCGGTGGGGACCCCCAGGAGCCCAGACAGGAGCCCAGCAGGCCCTGTGCAGCCACCGCCCTGCTCCGTGAGCCCACAGCATCTCCTTCCTACCCCGTCCTCCCTGCCCCTGACCTCAGGGTCCAGGAGGGGCCTCAGGTGTGACTGCACGTGTTCCTGGATGACACTGTCGTTTGGATCGCTGGGCTCAGCAACGTGGACTGGCCTCCCCGACGTGGGCGGGTCTCACGACCTGCAGAGGGGCTGCAGAGAGAACAAAGTCACAGCTTTCCCCTGCCTCCTGCAGCCCTCACCTTCTCTGCCCAGGGATCAACCCCAGGTGACAGGGCTCTGGGCTCCGGGCTCCGGGCTCTGGGCTCTGGGCTCTGGGCTCCGGGCTCCGGGCTCCTCTCATAGGGGATTGCCCAGCTGCATGATTGGCAGGTGGATGTTAGGTGGAGGGAGGGTGGGAGGAGGGAGACGGGGCGGATGGACGGATGAGCGGCTTGAACGCCGCCGTGGTTCTGCTTTCCAGAGAAGGCTGGCTGACATCACTCACCCGCCCCTGGCAGCGAGCACCGGGGAGCTGCGCCCGCCTGGCTCCTCCTGCCCTGCGGTTCTCGGCCTGTCTCGCTGGCCTCCCAGCTGGACCCTCGGAGCTCTTGGGAGTCGCCCTTCTCCCCAGCCACCTTCTGTCCTCTCGGGCTTTAACTTCCAACGGCCCTAAGATCACGAGATCACGAGCACCCACCCACCTCCCACACAGAGAAGAGTACGGGCGTGGCCCCAGGCTGCCCAGCGTCCAGGAAGGCAGAGGCTGCGGCAGTGGCTGTGGATTCAGCCCTCAACTCCTAATCCTAACCCTACCCTAACCCTAACCCTAACCCTAACCCTACCCTAACCCTAACCCTACCCTAACCCTACCCAACCCTAACCCTACTCTAACCCTAACCCTACCCTAACCCTAACCCTAACCCTACCCTAACCCTAACCCTAACCCTAACCCTACCCTACCCTAACACTAACCCCAACCCTAATCCTAACCCTAACCCTAACACTAACCCTAACCCTAACCCTAACCCTAACCCTACCCTAACCCTAACCCTAACCCTACACTAACCCTAACCCTAACCCTAACCCTAACCCTACCCTAACCCTAACCCTAACCCTACACTAACCCTAACCCTAACCCTAACCCTACACTAACCCTAACCCTAACCCTAACCCTACACTAACCCTAACCCTAACCCTACACTAACCCTAACTCTAACCCTAACCTTACACTAACCCTATCACTACCCTAACCCTAACACTACCCTAACCCTAACACTAACACTAACCCTAACCCCCTAACCCTAACCCTACCCTAACCCTAACACTAACACTAACCCTAACCCTAACCCTACCCTAACCCTAACACTAACACTAACCCTAACCCTAACCACCTGACCCTAACCCTACCCTAACCCTACCCTAACCCTAACCCTACCCTAAACCTAACCCAAACCCTAACCCTAACCTTAACCCAAACCCTAACACTAACCCTAACCCCCTAACCATAACCCTAACCCTAACCCTAACCATATCCCTAACCATAACCCTAACCCTACCCTAACCCTAACCCAAACCCTAACACTAACCCTAACACTAACCCTAACCCCCTAACCCTAACCCTAACCCTAACCCTATCCCTAGCCCTAGCCCTAACAATAACCTTAACCCCTAACCAACCCTAACGAACCCTAACCCTAACCCTAACTCTAACCCTAATAACCCCAGCCCTATATCCAACCCTAACCCTAACCCTATCCCTAACCCTAACTAACCCTAACCCTAACCCCCTAACCCTAACCCTAACCACCCTAACTAACCCTAACCCTAACCCTAATAACCCCAGCCCTATACCCAACCCCAACCCCAACCCTAACCCTAACCCTAACCCTAGCCCTAACCCTAACTAACCCTAACCCTAACCCTAACCCCCTAACCCTAACCCTAACGCTAACCCTAGCCCTAACCCTAACTAACCCTAACCCTAACCCTAACCCCCTAACCCCCTAACCCTAACCCTAACGCTAACCCTAGCCCTAACCCTAACTAACCCTAACCCTAACCCTAACTCTAACCCTAATAACCCCAGCCCTATACCCAACCCCAACCCCAACCCTAACCCTAACCCTAACACTAGCCCTAACCCTAACTAACCCTAACCCCCTAACCCTAACCCTAATAACCCCAACCCCAACCCCAACCCTAACCCTAACCCTAACCCTAGCCCTAACCCTAACCAACCCTAACTAACCCTAACCCCAACCCCAACCCTAACCCTAACCCTAATAACCCCAGCCCTAACCCCAACCCCAACCCCAACCCCAACCCTAACCCTAACCCTAACCCCAGCCCTAACCCCAACCCCAACCCCAACCCCAACCCTAGCCCTAACCCTAACCAACCCTAACTAACCCTAACCCCAACCCCAACCCTAACCCTAACCAGATCTTCCCTCTTAGACTCGCCATCATCTCAGAGAGAACACGTGTGGCATCCGTTGGCCTTAACGTGCTGTGTCGTGCTTGTGAGCCAGAACGCAGGCTGCCCCGCGCAAGGCCCCGGGTGAGCGTGAGCAGAGGTGTGTGCGGTGCACGCCCACTGGATCCGGGTGGCGGACGGGGCGGCGGCTGCAGCTCTGTGTCTCCAGCTACCCACGGGGGTCCGTCCAGTTCTCCTCTCATGTCTGCCGGGTTTTGCCCCATTTACCTTGATGTCCTGTTGTTAGGGCTGTTCCGCCTTTTTGAGTGAATCCTCGCTTTATTATGTAAATCTCTGTTTAAAAGTGATCATCTGGGGCCAGCGTGGTGGCACAGCAGGCTAAGATTCTACCTGCAGCAGCAGCGTCCCCTTCGGGCCAGTTTGGATCCCGGCTGCTCCTCTTCCTATCCAGCTCTCCGCTGTGGCCTGGGACAGCAGTAGAAGATGGCCCAGGTCCTTGGGCTCCTGCACCCGTGTGGGAGACCCAGAAGAAGCTCCTGGCTCCTGGCTCCTGGCTCCCGGCTCCTGGCTTCGGATCAGCTCAGCTCCGGCCGTTGCAGCCATCTGGGAAGTGAACCAGCGGATGGAAGACCTCTCTCCGTCTCTCCCTCTCTCTGTCTGCAGCTCTGCCTCTCAAATAAATAAATAAAATCTTTAAAAAAAATAAAAATATTTCTAAAAAAGTGGTTGTTTCCCCTGTGTGAAGTTTGCCCTGTATGAAATCCTGCTTTCTCTGATTCCTGTCAGCCTGCTGTATACGCCCATCCCTTTGTCTTTAACCTGAGTCTTTATATTTAAAGTGGGATCCCCCCAGGCAACAAATAGTCTGCTCCTCTTTCATTCTTTAAAGATTTACTTATTTATTTGAAAGGCAGAGTTAGAGAGGCAGAGAGAAAAAGGTCTTCCATCCTCTGATTTACTCCTCAGATGGCCGTAACGGCCGGAGCTGCACTGATTCAAAGCCAGGAGCCAGGAGCTTCTTCCAGGTCTCCCACATGGGTGCAGGGGCCCAAGGGCTTGGGCCATCCTCCACTGCTTCCCCAGGCCATAACAGAGAGCTTAGTCGGAAGAGGAGCAGCCGGGACTCGAACTGGCACCCATATGGGATGCCGGCACTGCAGGCAGCGGCTTTACCCGCTGTGCCACAGCGCCGGCCCCTGGTTCTGTTTTTTCAAGCACTCTGACGACCTCTGTCATCTAGTTGTTGCATTTAGAACATTTTGTTGAAATCAATGGTATTTGTAAATAATTTCTGTTTGCATTATTCCTTGTTTTTTCCCCCCTTTTCCTGCCTCCTCTAGTTTTAGCTGAGCATTTCCATGGTTGCATTTCCCTTGAACTACACTTTGTGCATGTTGGCTGTGAAGGTTAATGCTGCCTGTCAACCTGACGAGGAGCCCGGGGGCAATCAAACACGCTCCAATGCTTCTGCGTGGGTGTTGGGAGGGGTTCCCGTTGACATCGGTACACTTGGTACAGCAGATCGCTCTCTGCGGCGTGGGCGGGCCTCAGCCACTTGGCTGAATGACGAGCAGGGTGAAAACCTCCTCCCCGGGCAGTAGCCAGGCCTCCAGCAGGCAGCGCTGGACCTGAGCTGCAGCCCGGGCCCCGGCCTGCAGGCCTCGGGAACGCATGAGCCCACGGATCTAACAGCTCCATCCCCGCAAGAGAGAGAGCCCTGGCAGGCACAGCCTGACGAGGCAACAGAGGCCCAAAATATGACCCCGGGGTGCTTGCAGGAGGCACGGGTAAGGCCTTCAAACGTCCACGGCAAACAGGTACAGCGGCCTCCAAAGCTGGAGACAGTGCGGAAATATGAGGGCGAGCTCAGGGCTGGGAGCTCCCAGCCCACTGCCCAGCGACAGGGCCTAGAAGCCTCGGTGTCTGCCTGAAGGAGACCCCGTCTCACCCTGTGTCTCACTGGAGCACCTCTTCCCACGAGCCTAACTTACACAAGCAGTGTGCCCTGTGACCATGACGGGGACGGGACAGGTGGACATCGGCCACGTGGGAAGCCCTGGTGAAGCTGGGGGTGCTGAGCCCTGAGATTCCGCTGATCGCCTACAAGGGCAGAGGCACCCCCTGCCCCATCCAGGCCAGT